CCTTGAACAGTGATTTTTCTAAACCACACTGAAGATTCCATGTGTTCAGTCACAGCATCAATGCAAACATTTATCTGCATCACATCAGACTTGTTTAATTGTTGTGATGGTTGAAGGCAAATGTTAGATAACGCATTGGTCAAAGTCTTCATGAAACAAATTTATTGAAGGGCCTTCAGTGTTTCACCTACCATTTGTCATAGTTTGTCACTGTGTTTTGCAGTTTTCATGTTTATTTACCTCTTGTGTTCTCTCTCTCATTTCCCCCTCAGTCAGCTTTGTGTTGCTGCTCACTCTCTTCTTACACCTGTCCCTGTTCAGTAATCACTCAGGTGTTTTCCACCTCTGCTCTATTTAACCGGTCTTCCTTCACTACTTCCCTGTCCTCGTTTGGTTTTGTCCTGGCATTCTCCTTGTGTTGCTCGAGTTTAATTTTGTTAGTTTGCCACCAAAGAGAACCAATCTTCCTGCCTAACAAAGTTTTTTTCTCCCATTGGAGGACATGTCAAAAGGTGGGATCTCTGTTCTTCTCTGTTCTGGATATACAGTATATCTGGATTCCGATCACTGGATTCTACAGATTGGCTTGGTGGTCACCTGGTGTTCTACAAAACAACATTGGTGTCTTTTCATTTCCTGGCTGCCTGACCAATTTGATGGATGGCCGTACTATCAGCACTCAGACTTTTGCCTTGAGCGAGCTGGACTCGGTCTGCAAGCGATTCTATTGATGGTCACGGGCCGGCTGTGGTCCATGGACTTTGCTGGCCAGATGGAATTGATCTTGGAGAAGCTGATAGCATGGCTTGGCAGAATTGTCCACACTATTTGTCTGATTGGATTTGTCACCTTGAGATGTACCAGCAGACATTGAAGCAGATGTAAAACTGTTATCGTCTGCCTGACTCTTCTGTTCCCAAAACAACTGATAACAGATTCGGCTCTCCCATACAACAGCCTTGAGCTGTTGACTAAATTCTTCCTGGTTGATTTACGTCGACTGAGGCTCTGCCCCATACCCCCCTCACACACCCATCTGTGATCTGTTCCTGGAGCAGGCTGAAGGCCACACAGAATGAACAGTTACCATCCATGTTCTGAACTATGTCTGTGCTGGTTTTGGGGACTGGATTCTTCGGGCTCATTCTTCAGATATTCACACAAACATACAACACTCATGGCTTCACGTACACAGCCCCCTAAAATCCTCTGGCTAATAAATGTGCTCTATGCAGAGGATTTTTTATAAACACCATAGTGTGTCACAGTGTTGATATAATATTATGTTTTTGTTTTCTTTTTCATCATCGTCCCTTGTGTGGTTTTTAGTTTTTCCTGTTAAGGGTAGCACATCCTCATGATGTCTTCATGAAGATGATCCTTGCGCTGTGCTGGAGTCTGTGGCTGCATGACCTAGGGCACATGTTCTCCCAAGTTTGTTATGTTCTGTCTTCTTCTGAATGTGTGTTCTGAACTGTAATTTCATTGTGCTCTCTGTATGATGACAATAAAGGTCTCTCTCTCTCTCTAACAACCCTACTCCCCCTGCCACATCCATAAAGTTGAGGGGTCAGGTTAATAATGGGATTCAATTTTGACTGTGTCCTTTTTTCTACAAACATTTTACCACAACCTTCACACAACTCTCCTTGGGCTGCCACCTTATCATGGTGGAGAGGTTTGAGTGTCCCAGTGATCCTAGGAGCTATGTTGTCGGGGGCTTCATGCCCCCAGTAGGGTCACCCAAGGCAAACAGGTCCTAGGTGAGGGATCAGACTGAGTGCAGCCCAGAGACCCCTATGATGAATATGATGGATGGATTCAGTGTTCCTTTGCCTGGACGTGGGTCACCAGGGCTCCACTCTGGAGCCAGGCCTCAAGGTGGGGCACATTGGCAAGCACCCGGTGGCCGGGCTTTTGCCCATGGAGCATGGTCGGACACAGCCCGAAGAGGAGACGTGGGTCCCCCTTCCCATGGGCTCACCACCTGTGGGAGGGGTTGGTTGCATTGTGTGTTGGGCAGTGGTCGAGGGCGAGGACCTTGGTGGTCTGATCCTCGGTTACAGAAGCTGGCTCTAGGGACGTGGAATGTCACCTCTCTGGTGGGGAAGGAGCCTGAGCTGGTGTGTGAGGTTGAGAGGTTCTGACTAAATATAGTCGGACCCACCTCGACGCACCACTCTAGCTCAGGAACCAGTGTCCTCGAGAGGGGCTGGACACTCTTCCACTCTGGATTTGCCCATGCTGAGAGGTACTGAGAGGAGGGTCCGTCGAATAGTCAAATTTCAGATTCAGGAAGAGCAGTGTGGTTTTCGTCCTGGTCGTGGACCAGCGGACCAGCTCTACACCCTCAGCAGGGTCCTGCAGGGTGGATGGGAGTTCACCCAGCCAGTCTACATGTGTTTTGTGGAGTTGGAGAAGGCGTTTGACTGTGTCTCTCAGGGACTCCTGTGTGGGGTACTCCGCGAGTATGGGGTACCAGGCACATTGATACTGGCTGTTAGATTCGTGCATGACCAGTGCCAGAGCTTGGTCCCCATTGCCGGTAGTAAGTCAGACTTGTTTCCGGTGAGAGTTGGACTCCGCCAAGGTTGCCCTTTGTCACAGATTCTGTTCATAACTTTTATGGACAGAACTTCTAGGCGCAGCCAAGGTGTTGAGGGGATCCTTTTTGGTGACCTTAGTATCACATCTCTGCATTTTGTGGCTGATGTGGTCCTATTGGCCTCATCAGATCGTGATCTCTGGCTCTCACTGGAGCAGTTCACAGCCGAGTGTGAAGCGGCCGGGATGAGGATCAGTGCCTCCAATTCTGAGACCATGGTCTTGAGCTGGAAAATGGTAGCGTGTAGCAGTGAGGGGAGACAGGTACAGTTGTGAATAAGGAGGTTTGAGCAAAGCTCATAAGGCAAACTTACTTTAACATGAAGGCTATCTTTACATGTCACTGAAGAGATGTGTTCTATATTCAGCGATAGCAAAAATAGCAGGGTTTCTTTTTTCAGTTAAAGTAAGTGACAACAATGCCATCGGCTATTAAGAAGGCTGCTCCCACATGACTTCAGCTTGCCCTGTGTGCTGCTAGCACCTGCATGCATGTTCAGCGGTTCTGCATGGAAAAGTGTCCCCCATGAATCAGTTTACTGGTGGGTGTGATGTAGCATTCCAAATGTGTTCAGGCTATCTAAGATTGTATGCCACTAATCAGAAAATTCATACCATAGAAAAAAAAAAAAAAAAAAAAAAAAAACAACAACCCATTTTTTGGCATGTACTGCCCCGCTATAGTCCACATTGTTGTAACTTAGACTGTCTAGACTGTCTAAACATTACTGTTTAAACAATTACATCTACATATATTTAAACTAGCTGCACATGACAAATGTCCTACATGTTATTTTGTGCAACTAAAACTGTATATGAATTTCTGTATACATTTTTATTTCAAAAATATTATCTAAAAATACAAAATAAACAAGGCAGTAACAGTATTTCCTCTTCATTCAAATTTATTAGGTTTAATTGGCTTTAATTGGTATGTCTTACAAAATTTCTGAGTTTTCTGTCATCTTGGATTGCTTCACTTTAGCACTGCCACACTGAGCCAAGATGTGTTGACATGTGTTTCACTACAGCCTCTCAGCAGGATATTGCTATGCCGCATGGCTGCCATATTCCTGAGTTACATATAATTCTGTTTTAGTCAAAGAGTTTGATGCTAATGAATGTTAATGTTTGTCAGATGTCTGAATTCATTTATCATCGGTTATGTTTACAAATGGAATAGTTTTTGGGTGGAAGTTGTTTTAATTTTAATCAAAAGCTTTTTAAGTAAATAAATTGCCATTTGAAGCATAAATAAGTAAAAACAGAGTTCTTATTTAGTCTTGGTAAATGCCACAACTTGTTTTATGGGAAATTTGTTAAATATACAACATATATAAATATTAAAAAGTCCAGCAGCTGGCCTCCCTTTTAATCACAACACACCAACTAATGAAGCAACTTTAAAAACTGTAATTAGTATTTCCTATTATTTGTTATACTGGTGTTTTTATTCTATAAACCATTTTCAGCTATATTCAGTTTGTATAATAATCCATAGAAAGGAAGACCCCAAGCAGATGGAGCAGTCAGGGTGACAAATAGAAATCTTTTATTTTCCAGGAAACAAGCTAATAATAGAGAGTTTGCCAAGGCAGGATCTCCCCAAAATATAGAGCACAGTCACAGTGTGATGATACACGGGAACAAAAGTTGACACAAGGGAAACCGCAAAGCTATACCGTGATGACAACAACAACAAGCATTTGGCAAAAAATAGCTGAAAACCTGAGATGATGTGAACATTAAAGATGTAAACAAAAATCAAGGAGTTGGTGTGATTAGCAATTTAAAATCAGGTTTGATGAAAGAACAAAAAAAATATGTATAATAACGGACGTAAAAGGAAAAAATAAACAGCTCAAATAAAATGCAGGAAAGAAACCAGCTAAAGGAAATATAAAACATTATAAATGAAAGAAACCAGCTAAGGAAATGTAAAACATTATAAATGAAAGAAACCAGCTAAGGAAATATAAAACATTATAAATGAAAGAAACCAAAATCCACACAGAGTCACAGAAATACAAATATTATGTTTGTATGTTCTGAAAAAGACTGTATGATTAAATTTTGGTTTATTTCTTCAATTGACAAAGACAAAGCCATACATTTATTTGATTTCCTTTATATATTTTAAAATGCATCTTTAAAAGAAGCACAATTTCATTCTGCTGCTGTAGAACATGAGTGCTATACACTTTTGTTCTTATGTATTACTGTGTACACTAAATTAAATTTGTGTGTGTTTGGTAACGCAAATGTTAGTTTGACTAATATAAATCCTGTGTAAATGTTAGACAAGCAGAGAAAATAAACGTTCTCACTCTGAGATACAGACTAGTGTCTACATTATTCCTCCCTCTAATCTTGTTGTTATCATCTGTGTTTCTCAGGATGGTATGGGGAACCTGCGAGTCACCAAGGAAGGAGTCCGACTGGAAGGAGTGTCTGAATTCTTATTGCCTTTATATGTCAAAGAGATCCAGTCACGAAGGGTGAGTTGTGTGTTGAAACATGTTTTACTCTTTATTTATCAGTTTTTATTACTTCTATTACTGTGGTTTATTCTCTGTTTGTGCCAGGGATTTGACAATTTTATGAGCTTGTGTATATATTCATGGGCAACCCTTTGTTATAAGAAGAAATATCTGGTGTTTGTTTCCTGTTGTAACTTTACATTACGTAGGCTCGGTATGGTTTATCGGCAGTTGACCGGCCAATGTGCGGTCACATGGTTGTTCAGTGTTCGTTTTTGCACGAACCTTTCATAGCCCATGAGACACACCGTGCAGAGCTCATGGGAAACCCCTCCCGCTGCGGTTTACATCACTGCAAGCGGTTTCTTCCCGCTGGACTTTACAATGAGGAAAAAAATTATAAACATCTAAGACCCGTTGCCCAACATTATTTGTTCACAAATCTGTCCCGGCTAAAGCTCCACAGTTTTTATCAGACAGATTCCTCCATGCACGTCTGTTTTATCTCCACGAGTTTTTGTCTCTTTATTAATGTCTGCTTCTGGGTAGCCTACAACAGTCAGTTTCTGGAAGCGAGTATTTTTATTTGTTTATTTATTTTAAAGCTAAATGCACAACGCTTTCAGTACAAACACTCCCACAAATTTCTGACCAATCACAAAATAAGGTTTTGTGGATGGGGGGGTAAAAAGTTTGCCTATTTTTGTCATGAACCTGCGACAGTCCAATCTGATTTCGGCAGTTTGGCTGAGCATGCAGAGGTCTTAAGTCACTCTGTAAGACAACTCTTACGGTGCATTTTTTTTAAATCCCATTCTGTTTGTGTGTGTGTGTGGTTGTGTTGTAGATCAGAAAACTTTAAGCACACCAAAAATACAAATGCATGTGTTTTTGTGATGAATAAATGAATGATCAGCATAAATGACAGTTCAGTGTTGTAGCATGAGTTTAATCACAAGCTGGAGAAATGCCTTACTTCCTGACCTTAGTGTTTATTTGTATTAAGCTAAATCATTTTTACCAGTAAAGTGCATTTGTGAAGTACAAAAGACAGACATCTCTTTTATATGTTCTGTTTTCTGAATTTATGTAACATCTAGTCTCTTTTGAATCAGGTATTGTTTCAGTTCTATATGGTTCTACCACTCAATGTTTAGAAAAAAAACCTTAAGCTATAACACCGTTTACACATAATAGTTTGGACAAATCTTTATTTTTACGTAAAGTTGCTCAAAAGCAGAACCATTAAAACACCAATCTGTGAGGTTTCAGCAGGTACAGACCCAGGGCGCAGGCAAAAATCAAAGGTGCAACTAAAAGGTTTATTATAATAACAATAAGAGGGCTGAAGACAGCAAACACTTAGACAAGTGCTTCTCAGGAGGAACAGACAGAACACCACACAGGCTGAGGGGAAACAGCACAATGAACTGACACAAGACTGGACTTAAATACACTGAAAACTAATGAATGAACAGACAACACCTGGTGAGAAACACGAGGGTGACAATCAGGCTAATGTGGGGCAGCTGGGCTGAGACACACAGGGGAACATAGAAACACTAGGAAAACCAAGGTGAAAATGACAAACCATGACACAATCATGCTTTTAATAGACAATAACACATAACTTTCATTCTTATAAATGGTGTAAAATAAAATGTGGTATAGAAATAAAACATGATTTAAATTTTTGTTTAAAATTGAAAGTGGAGTTAGTCCAAAAAATAATTTTCATCTCCACTGTTTTCCAAATCTGTTTAAATTACAGTCAGTTTGACAGATGAGAGTCTGCAGTTAGCACATTTCATAAATCAGAAAACACCCAAAGGAATGACTGGACGTTCATACCAAAAGATTAAATATGGGTTCACTTGATTGTAGTTTATTGCTTCCAAGATGGCGATGAAATAATATGGGATCCCAGGGGAAACTCTTTGTTGATTGCAGGGTTGGGAGATGATTTAATCAACTTAAATTAATGGGTGCACCCTTATTTAAAACCTGTGCATCTATACGTCTTTTGTGTAAACATGGCATAATAGATGCATACTCATCATGCTCATTATATGAGCTAATAGAATTAAACCTACAAGCAGTGTCTTCTTTTTGCTGGCTTGCAAAGAGGCTTTCAAAGTAAAAGTGAATGGTGGTGGACACTAAGTAAGATGCCAAAATGGCATGTTAATATGTGTGCTTGATGACAAAGTAGAAGCGCACCTAATGGATACAAAAAACTGTTTTCTTATTTTTAAGAAAATAAATAACTGTACATAAAATGTGCAGAAGAACAGAGGGGAGAATGAAGAAATACCTCTCCACCACATCTGTAGAATGCCTCAGTCAAATGAAATTACATCCTCACACTGATGCACATTTTGCATAATCAAGGCCGTCCCCCAAGCACATCAAGGTAGGAGAGGTAAATGGAACATTGTGGCTCCCAATGACGGCTATAAAGGGAATGTTGCTTCTAAACCCTACACTAACAACAACAGCAGCTCAGTGAGGAATTAGATTGGCTAGGTGGGTTGAAAGAGATTAGGTGTAAAGAAAAGGAAAAATAAAGGTGAGGGGTAATAAAAGAGTAAGAAAACGAGACAATAAGGAACTAAAGGGGCACGAGCGAGACAAACAGACATAACCAAAAGACTAAAAATAAACTAATGCATCAAAAAGTTAATTTAAGTTTTAAAAAAGCCTCAAAAAGACTAGCAGAAGTATTGTGGTTTTTTTCAGTATTTTGACAGCAAAATTCTAATTATTTTTGGTAAAAAAGTGTATGTGTATACACTTAAAAAGTTGTTGTAGCAAACAGACCAAATGGTCATGACATTCTGAACAGAAAATAGTGTGTATTACCCAGACCATTATACATAAAATTACCAGACAATTCCAGTTTTTAAAAGGCCTCCAGTTTTTAAAAGGCCTTTGAGTATTTTTTGCTTATTTTAATTAGCACCTGCAAGAAACCACAACTCAGTCTGTGCTTAATTGATTCAAGACAGTCTGTAAGATTTCTTTAAATGTAAATGTTGCATATTATAAACACACACACACACACACACACACACACACACAC